CTTAGGCGGCTTAAAAAAAGCAACCACTAGGTTTTGAAAGGGGCGGGAGCCCGAAGACAACTAATCGCAGACATCAGAAGAAGACAGTCATCATATAGAAAGAGTGAAAATGGAACATGTGGTGACCACTGGAAAGATTTGTGGAAGGAGAGATAGAAAAAGACATCGAGAGAAGATTCTTGACAGTCGTTGCATGTCATGGAGGTGTGTCAGCACACAAACTGATACATGCTGCAGGAGATCGCAGATTATGGAGAGGCAAAATCACCACACCAGTCGGCGAGGCACCTGATGATGATGATACACTATTCGTATTCGGCCGAATAGTTGGTCCCACTATTCGTATTCGGCCGAATAGTGAAAACCACTATTCGGTACAAGCCCTATGTGTAATCAGTGTGCTATGGGGAAAATAAGCATCTTCACCTTAAGACATTTGCTGTGGAAGATGGAGCATCTGTACATGTGCCTGGTGGGCTATAATGTCGATTAGTAAATAAAAATAAAAAATTAGTAAATCAGTGGACACAGCACATTCAGATGTATTTTTAATCACTGTATTTTCTGAAAATATTTCACCTCCTATTTTTAAACTCACCGCCTATGGAGTTAATGCAACATATACTGCTATAGTATGTCTTATTTTTGGGTACAGCTGTGTTCACAGTTAATTTTACTGGTTGAATTGCTAACAGTATTAGGATGAGACACTTGAGTATCAAGAAATGACATGAACTGTTGAACAACTACAATCAAATACCTGCTACCTTAAAGGAACACATGCTGTACCAAAAATTCTCTCTCTTCAATAGTTAACACCATTATAGCTAAGATCAGTTACTAAAACATCAGTATGTAGCAGTGATATTCTAAACCACCGCCAACTCTAGATTACGCCATCTAACTAAATCACGTGACTTTTTGGATGGAGTCCCTCGAAAACTGGTTAGTGTAAGCCCTTTCCATGTGTTGCATTGTGTGACATTTTAATGTGCTTGCAAAGTTCTGTGTTCTGAATGAATTCGTATTACATATCTACAAGTGGATATTCTGAAGTAGATATACAAGATTTTCAAACTTGGCTGTTAGATTACAGCAATTTGAATTTAAATTCATGGGAGACGGTCGTGTTGCGATGTGTGTTTGTCACTGTTTCTAGTCAGTAGTTTGGATTTTTGGGAACTGGCTGTTTATTCTTTTTCTACTTTGAATGTGGAAAACTTACTTTTAGGGAAAATACTTTAAACAGTTAATTTGGGAGCCATATCTGGAGAATATCGACAGTTGTCAGGTGCAAACTATCTTGTGTTTGAAGAAAACTATTGCTTCCATATTGACTATGCATAAATGGTGCAACCACACTGTGGATAAATTGTGTCAAGATATTTCGGAGCTCCAGGTAAGTGGATGAAAATAATATTTAATTTACTAACTAACCTCTCACAGCAAGTCACTCTTTGCCTCTTTACTAATTGTTGACTAACAGTATAATTATATGTTGTAGCAGTACACTAATAATATTAATCCTTAACCATTTGACTTATGCTTCGCGAACACTGGCTGTAAACTCTTGCGAAAACTTCTGGTAGTTCATCCACTTCTTTTGCATGTTTGCAGTTCTAAGGTCTGTTAATTTTTGTAAACTAGCTTTTGCTTCGCGAACACTGGCTGTAAACTATTGCGAAAACTTCTGGTAGTTCATCGACTTCTTTTGCATATTTGCAGTTCTACGGTCTGTCAATTTTTGTAAACTGGCTTTTGCTTTGCTATGGAACACTGGCTGTAACCTCTTGCGAAAACTTCTGGTAATTCGACTTCTTTTGCATGTTTGCAGTTCTACGGTCTGTTAATTTTTGTAAACTGGCTTTTGCTTTGCTTCGCGAACACTGGCTGTAAACTGTTTTGCGGAAACTCTTGCAGAAACTTCTTTGGCGTATTTGTTCATCCACTTCCTATGGCTTTATTTACCAAAAAAATTTGCAATGGTAAGGAATTGATTTCATCCAACAAGATGAAACTGGACAAATTTGTTTGTGCTGTTTGTACCTTGAGGATACATATTTAGTAGTGCTATAAGTACTGTTAAGAAAACTACTCTGGGTGAAAAAAGTATTGCACATATCAATTTCATACTGATTGTGCTTGTTTACTAATTATTAAAAAACAGTATAATTATATGTTGTAGTAGTCTACTAATAATAATAATAACCATCATTTATTTATATTTATGTTATGTATGATATGTGTATCTTTCATAGCAGTATTTGTATGCGCTAAATTTGATAAAGTACAAATGTCAACCCCACCCCCCCCCCCCCCCCCCCCCCCCCCCCTAAGAATCAAAGAGTTAGCACTGATATTTCTTTACTTTTGATGAAACAACTTTTAGTTTTTATCTAAACGTTATTGATGTTTATGTTCATGTTGACTGTAGCAAAAGCATTTTTGTTTGTCTGTAAGAGCCTTTATTGTTATATTTATTTGGCACACTTATTTACCTTAAAAATGACGTATAGTTCTATAAAATATGTAGAAAATTAATGAAACTGTAGTTTAATTTGTGTATACATCTCCTCAATAAAAACTGTTAACACAGAGGGACTCAATTCTTGCACAAGAACGGGAATCCCCGTTGACCCAATTGGCCTATTTATAGCTAAAGATGGCCGTGTTCTAAACTAACAATTATGTGGTGTAAAACATGAGATACACACAATTAATTGATTTTAAAAAAGTATAGTTATTAAACATACACCATATTTAATAAGTAAAGTTACTTTTCTAAAAAATAAAAATAAAAATAAAAAAAAATATATATATAGGGGAAATAGTCACACAATTCACTGAAGAGCAAAAAATATAATGCTTGGGCAGCTCATGAGAATATCGTGGAATCAGTTACCGCAGTAAGGAACACTGAAGAAATATAATGAACACACAGCAAAGTGAAGACTGCAAAACATGGAATGATGGCTTCAAGAACAGTCTTAGAGAAATAAAGAGCAATTATCACACTGTGCTAGAAAAAGCACACAGATGATTGTTGCATTATCTATCATCAGCCACCCCTACCGCCCCTCTTTTCCAGCCACCCCCCTTGTCCCACTCAAACACAGTTCACTTAGGTAGAGGTTATATGACATTACATTTGTGAGCACTTGTTTAAACTATCTTCTCTAGGTCATGGAAACCAAAGCTTGTTTGCAGCTCTTCACAGTCAGGTAGCCCAAGGTTTGCCCAAGGAACCATGTGAATGGAGAAGGTGAGCATTTTCTTGAGAATTCTAGTACAGGACATTTATTTATGGCATCATTTGTTAGAGAGCATAAAGTTGTTTGTGGCTCACAATATTTCTTCTAGTGCATGACATATGATTTAGTAATTTGCATGTGTTCAGGTGTAGCACATCATTTGTTTTATATGTGCAGTTCATACTACATAGATTAATTATCTGGTTCCTGCACAACATAGAAGGATTAAACCTGTATTGAAGAATCATTAAAACAGTGTTTAAGCAGAGAACTAAGCAAATTCCAGCAAGCCAAGAACAAATATTAGTTACTGATACTAGGGAAACCACATACTGAGAATATAATAGCATAACTAGAAATTCATCTTTTGAAATAAGTGGGGAAGAGGTGGGGAAGGGGGGAATAAAAAATGGGAGACCTAAAAACTCAATAGAAGAGAATTACAGACAAACTGAATAATATACGGAGGATATTGAGGAAACAGCAGCGGGTGATGAAAATAAAATTGGGGTGATATTGAGGAAACAGCAGCGGGTGATGAAAATAAAATTGGAATGATATTGAGGAAACAGCAGCGGGTGATGAAAATAAAATTGGAATGATATTGAGGAAACAGCAGCGGGTGATGAAAATAAAATTGGAATGATATTGAGAAAACGGCAGCGGGTGATGAAAATAAAATTGGGGTGATATTGATGAAACAGCAGCAGGGGATAAAATAATATATAGACGACTTTGAAAGAACAGCAGAAGGTGACAAAATAATATATGGATGACATTGAAGGAGCAGCAGCAGATGACAAAATAATATACAGAGGACAGTGACAGAACATCGGCAGATGACAAAATAATAAAGAGAGGACATGAGAGAACAGCAGATGACGAAATAATTTACAGAGGACATTGAGGGAACAGCAGCAAACAATAAAAGAATATACAGAGGACATTGAGGGAACAGCAGCAAACAATAAAACAATATACAGAGGACATTGAGGGAACAGCAGCAAACAATAAAACAATATACAGAGGACATTGAGGGGACAGCAGCAAACAATAAAACAGAATACAGAGGACATTGAGGGAACAGGAGCAAACAATAAAACAATATACAGAGGACATTGAGGGAACAGCAGCAAACAATAAAACAATATACAGAGACATTGAGAGGGAACAGCAGCAAACAATGAGGGAACAGCAAAACAATATACAGAGAGCATTGAGGGAACAGCAGCAAACAATAAAACAATATACAGAGGACATTGAGGGAACAGCAGCAAACAATAAAACAATATACAGAGGACATTGAGGGAACAGCAGCAAACAATAAAACAATATACAGAGAACATTGAGGGAACAGCAGCAAACAATAAAACAATATACAGAGAGCATTGAGGGAACAGCAGCAAACAATAAAACAATATACAGAGAACATTGAGGGAACAGCAGCAAACAATAAAACAATATACAGAGGACATTGAGGGAATAGCAGCAAACAATAAAACAATATACAGAGAACATTGAGGGAACAGCAGCAAACAATAAAACAATATACAGAGAACATTGAGGGAACAGCAGCAAACAATAAAACAATATACAGAGGACATTGAGGCAACAGCAGCAGATGACACAGATAGAAAAGCTTGACTTGGTTGAAGGTCTATGCTGCATTGGATGGTAAAAGGTAGATGAAGAAAGAAGACTGGATGCCTTTTTCTCCATGTTAGCACAGATGCATATTCCCTTCCCCAGATCTTACGGTCGGGCCCCACGTTCCATTCATCTGGAAGCAAGTTTTGTACCCTATGATCCAGATATCTTACCAGGTGATGAAGAGAAAACACTGGTTAGTCGGCCATACTTCCACATTTACTGGACAGATTGTGTGAGTACTTGTCTTCTAGTTTTTGTCCTATCTGGAAATATTAAACTATTTTAGTGCGAGTAAGTCATGAATTCAGTTGTTTTTAGTCCTAATGTATTCTAAGTGAAAGCAGCAATTTTGTGTTTGAAGAAGTTAACATACTGACGCTAAGGGACTGAAGGAACTAAACTAACAATTCAAAGGTAATGAGTTAAGTTAACAATTGTCTGTGGTAGAAGATAGTTAGAAAGGTTACCTGATATGAACTGATCATTGAACATAGGGTGAGTTGCATTGTATAGGAAGAGTTGAAAGCAAAAATTATCCTAATTGGTCTATCATGTGTTAGTTGACCCCATGAAGACAACAAGAATAGCATTTGTAACCTACCAAGCATGTTATAAGAGGTAGCTAAGGAAGTTTGGCTATTACAGGGGATCATTGTCTTAAAAGGCTGCATGCGGTTTTACTTACACATGCTTGCCTGGCTCAGACACCGGAAGATAGCAGAAGAGAGCATCTTTTTTAATAATGATGTTAGCTGACAGATTTCTCTGGAGTGCAATGTTTTCTCCTTCCCTGCCGTCTTTGGTGGTTTCCATTGTAGCGTAGACTGTTACAGACCACACACCTTTTACAGTCTATGAATGAGTCACAGCAATATTGATGATGATGATGATGATAGTCATTCAACACACGAGCCTTGCATCCACATTTGGGACCTGTCTGTTGACATGCTTGTTTGTCTATTTATCTGTTCGTGTATCTGCCAGTCTGTCTCTTTGTCAATCTGCATGTCTCTCTATCTACCTGACACCTGTAGTTTTTAGTATATTTATTTCCCTTAATTTGTATGTGTGTGTGTGTTACAGTTTTATAGCGAGAGTGATAAATAATGAAGATACTGTGAAAGATAGAAGAAGAGATATACCAATATATTGAAGCAGGCAATTGTGTTTAAACTCACTTGCTTGTTGTTTATTGATCAAACAATGTCTCTGTTGTCAAGGATGTGGAGGCTTACAAGCAAACAGTCAGAGATGACATCACAGAGTGGCAGTCTGCACTCAAAGCCAGGAACATTCCTGATTGGCTCATTGTTATAGTTTCTACTGATGAGAGCAAGGTCAAAGCAAAGCTGCTACCCAGGGCTTCAGTACTTGACAAGGTCAAAGGTGACTTCTGCAGCAAATATCCTGAAAGGTACAGAACCATTTTTGCATTATGATAATTTTGTTACAGTTCTTATTTTTGTTACTGCTGTTGGTGGTGGTGATAGTGATGTTGCTAATGGTGTTCAACTGGCAGCTCATATTCCTAGGCATCAGTAATTTGTGTAGCTGATTTGCTTGGTCAGCACAGATGTAGTTTCTAATGAGTGTGATTGCACATACCTTGGACAGAAAGAGTAACTAACAACTGAGTTATGACTCAGCACAGAACATGCAGATTAGCCTTGTTGTTAAAGAAAAAGCAACCTGTGTCCACACTTAGAAGTTTAAAGAAGAAAGAACAAAAGAAACACGTATTTATTCAATGTACATTACTACTAAAAATGATAACGAAACATGTAGCTACTGAAAGGAACATAATTTTCTCATAATTCTGACATTCTAAATATTTGTAATTTAATGAATGTAATATGTCAAATTGTACACAAGAATACATTAAGGTTTAGCCAGTCAGTTTTGCATCTGGGTCATAGATAATTTTTAGGCATACAGGCTTTCTCGTCAACTCATAAAAATGAGTCATCAAATAACTGTGAACAGGGAAGCGCCATTGGACAACTATGCATTTCTGTTTTTGAACAGCATATATCATCAAGTTGGCACCATCAGTATGGCAACTAAAGATGGACATAGAGCTTGAGTGAGAGTTTCCCTGAGTACAGATCTGTCAGTTCTGAACTAGTTAACTCAAGGCTTATGGTCATAGATCACTCAGCACTAGACAGCCTAACTTTGCTTATTAAATTGTTTGTTTAATGTCAAATCTGTAAATGTTGGAATGAAAGCCACTATGGCTGTCATTGTCCCACTTTGGAAAAACAAAGGAAGTAAGAGGGTTTATACTAATTAAAGAGGAATATCGCTTCTCAGTCACACTGATGCAGTAGAAGTTGCACAGATGCCATGTATATATTAAGACAGCTATAGGAGAGAGCAATAGAACGTGATATGACCTGTTTGTTGACATTCATAAACCAGGAAAAACCCTTTGATAGAATTTAACCCAGACCACTATTATGAAAGGCAAGTGGACTCACAATGTCCCTTTTTGCCATTGTGGTTGGTTATAGAGGTAGAGATCTGGTTAGGAATAACACAAACCTAATGCAATAAGATATAGGTCTAGCTCTATCATGCCCAGTGTGCCTGAAGATGTGGAAATTGGTCCTTTACTTTAACTGCTTTGAGAATATGTTGTGGGAATGTATGGGCTAAAAGGGAATCAGCAATCATCTCATTAATATTTGCACATGTAGTAAATGTTGTATAAGATTGAAGGCGGGATTGTCAAGAACATTTATAGTGAACTCTGGTGACGACAGAGACAGTGGTGATTGGGAGACAGAAAGACAATTTTGAAATATAATTAAAAAACAGCGTCTTTAGACAAACAGGAATTCAAGTATTTGGGAGCAACTTTCACATCCAATGGAAAACTGGACAGAGAAATTAGCTCAAGGTGTACCAAAGCAAATCAAGTAATGGAGCAACTATTTTCCCTGTTGACACATAAGCAGAAACCCTGAAGTGCTAAAGTGAACCTTATCAGAATTTTGTTTCGCTGACACTGTGTTATCAGTGCCAAACATTGACATTTAATCCTCTAAAAGAATTTAGAATTGTGACAACAGAGATGAAATGCCATAGAAGAGATGCAGGAGTTTCAATGAAAGACAGAATACAAAATCAGATGAATGCTAGGAATAAAGTCAGTCCTACTGGTCATCAAGGAACAACAAATGAAGTGGTTTGGACACCTAACAAGAATACTCCTGGTATCTCCTACAGCGAGCCACCCTGAAATGTTACAACGGGTATAGAGCGAGGGGAAGACCTCAGAAAATATGGAGTGATGGCATAAAGAACAGCTTTACAGAAATAAATGTCAGTCTTATTAGTGCTCTTGACAAAGCTCATCAGCGAACGTTACATCTCCCCCCAACACTTCACTGAGGTACAAGTTGGAAGAGAAGAAGAATGGCAGCATTTAGCACAGATACAAATATTGTTTTCACCTTGGAGACTTTGAACAGGAAAAAATGACAACAAGTATTCCAGCAGTAATTACTGTTACATAGCAAAGACCTGTGGCATAACACACATATTTGGGCATAAACAAATACATTGTCACAGGAGTGTTTAATGCTACTGCAATTTCCAAACCAAACTGACTAACTATGCACTTTAGCATTGCCACTGGTAGTATACTGCAGAACAGTAAATGGGATGCAGCAAGAGCCACTAGAGTATGTTGGTGGTTCCTGGAATCAATGCATACACACGACCAGAATAATGATGGTATTCCCTTGTACCCATTTTAGACTTGGTCGATTTCAGTGGGTGATTTGAACTATAATTACATGGACAATAGGTGGGCGTACTAGCCACTGCGCTATCATGCTCCCAAGCACTAAAGGGTACTAACAGAAAATTGGGAATGTCATTTTTTTGTGGTCTATTCTTATATTCTCTGTACTCATAAACATTGTTCCAGTTCTAAGCAGTGTTTCCCCATTGTGAATTTGAACAAAAAAGACACAAACAATAGACTGCACAATTTATTGCCTGGCATATTTCAGTGTATCTCGTCAGGTGCATACTACAGTAACAATTGATTAAAATGAAGCAAAAATCTGAATCCTAGAAACTGAAACACAAATATGACTACATTCATGAACTGTCTGTTTCACCAAGGTAACCGTAAGGTAACGACCATTTCTTTCTGCCTTCTTCCAGTTCTGTTCTGCCTTTCAGCATCAAGTTTTAAAGAGGCATCGTATGTGAGCCTTTTTATGTTTTGCTGATATTTACGATCTAGGATATTCTATCTGTCCATACTTTTGTGATCAACCTCTCGTGGGCTTTCATTATATCTTACGTGACAAGGTTGTCTGTGGTGCACTATGTAGACACATGTTTGAACCATTTGATCTATTGTCTCTTGTTATAGTTTAGTGTTATATCTCAGAAACTGAAACACTTCAGCCATATTAAACACCACAGTCATTTACAAAGAACACCGGGAAGCTTAGTTCCTGGAATGTTTGGCAAGGAAGAGGGAAGTGAGACAGACTGGACATGACAGTACACAAGGCGGGGTAATATTCAGGGGATCTGACTGTCGGACAGGATGTGGCATCAGTCACATTCTGCATCTTGTGATTATTCTCATTGTGTTTCTGCCTTGATTATTTGAGGTCACTTGTGATTTCACAATGTTCATGTTCACAGATGTATTGTGCTGACAGACCCAAACAAGTTGGACTCCAAATCTTCAGAGTCCTGGTCACAGTTGTTCCAGAGACTCCGGAACTTGTTACTGCAAGCATTTGATCGACACCTAAACAGATATGAAGAAACTATGAGAAGTAAACGCGAGAAGAGAAATGAGCCTGGCTGGAACTACTTTTCTTATTTCATTTTCCAGGTGACTGTTTTCGTGAGCACTGGGTTTAGTTAATTGGAATCTATGTTACTCTTCTTGCACTTTTAGTGCACTTTATGTTTTTTGTGTATGTATATATCTGGTTCATTCTCATGCTGCATTAATCAGTTCTGTCACACGTGTTTTTATTTTTAGCCCTTTGGCCCATATCTGTACTCATAAAGTGTTGAATGCCCCATAATTGTATTAATTCATAAAGTGTTGAATGCCCCATAATTGTATTAACTCATAACGTGTTGAATGCCCCATAATTGTATTGACTTATAAACCTATAAAATGCAGAAATAGGGGTAAAAGTATTCAGTCTGTTAAGTGAGGTTGCCTCTCTTCTCAGTCTTATTCCTGTAATGTTTCCTCTTCTTCTACATCTTCTATATATTGTTCTTCTCCTGCTACTCCTCCTCATGCTCCAGTCTCTTCTCCCCTACTCCCCCTTCATTATTCTTCTTGCTGTGTCTTTCATCTCCCTGCAGAGTGTAGGAGCTCAGCCAACTCATAGCAAGCACTTTGTAAACTTGTTGATGGTTAGTTGAACTCTGCCTCTCACAGTTTCTGCAATGTGAGGTAGCATTTTGAGACTAACTTCTTCCTAATCCTTCTAATGACACACTTGACAGTTTTTGCTACTTATTGCTACCTTTATCAGCCCCCGCAACTTTCGGATGCTGACACTTTTTCCCCCCAAATTAACATTATGCACATGCTGAACATTTGACAGGAGGAGCTGGCATTCATGCTAGAGATGCTGGGTCTCAAAGAAGATGCCCTGATACAGTATGATGAGCTGGACGCCATGTTTGATCAGTTTGTGGAGAACTTTGCCAATGGAGGTACTGGGAATTCTTATCTGTGCTTTTCTATCTTCTGTTATTCATAATGTCCTGCCATGGGTTGTGAGGTTATATTATGTTACCACAATCAGCATCACTGCACATTGAGTATTCCCATGCATGCTCAGTCCCTTGCTGCAGCAGCCACTCCAGAGTACCTCTGCTGACTGTTGTGAGGTGGCATATTCCCTTAGCTGACACCTTGTCTACTCGGACAGTTCCCAAAACATTGTCTAATACCTAAACCCAAGAGAGGGCTATTCAGCTTGTGGCTCACGGGCCGAATATGGCCCACAGGGACCTAGCAAGTGGTTTGAGGTTTATTACCAGATGTATTGTATATAATTATTTTTCTTTGCTGGGGATCGGGCCGTGACGATCCTAACTTTCAACAGTTTGGCTCCTTAGTAAGCTTAACCTTGCCCTAGAGCTGTACTGGTCAGACAGAATAATTCTGTCTTTGCTGCTAATTGAACCCAGACCACTATTATGAAAGGCAAGTGGACTCACAATGTTCCTTTTTGCCATTGTGGTTGGTTAAAGAGGTAGAAATCTGGTTAGGAATAACACAAACCTAATGCTATAAGATATAGGTCTAGCTCTATCATACCCAGTGTGCCTGAAGACATGGAAATGGGTCCTTTACTTTACTGCTTTAAGAGTAAATGGAGGATTGGCACACAACAGAGAAGAAACACATGTCTGTTGAACCTGTTGTACTTGAGGGTAAACTTGGTGCTGTTGAACAATAGAGAAGACAGACATGACCAGATATGTCTGTTGAAACTGGGACTTGAGGGTAAACTTGGTGCTGTTGAAGAATAGAGAAGACAGACATGACCAGATATGTCTGTTGAAACTGAATGCAATAAGCTACTGACTTGACAGACAGTACAGCAGAATAAATTTATGATAATGATTTGATAGCCAGCTAAGAGTTTGTTAAATTGATTGTTCTTTGATTGTAGACACCGTCCAGTGGCTAACCCCTCTTGTGAAGCCCAGTCTCTGCTGGTCCGGAGTCTCACTGGCCAGGTCTCTGGACCTGGAGCTGAGGGATGCAGTCAAGCAAAACACTGCTAGCTTGCTAGAGTTCAGGAACTATCTCTTCTCTAGACAGGCAACTTTGCTGTTCCAGATGGGAAGAGCCTGGGAGGTGGCCCAGCGAGCACAGAACTATCTCTACAACACTGTGGTTGAAATGAGGGCACTTGAGGTTAGTCGGCGGTTAATTAGCTGTTCAGGTTTGTTGCTTGTATTCATTTTCAATAGTAAAGAATACAGGTGAGCTGCTGTGGTGTAGCAGCCAGACACTCACCTCGGGCCTGAAGGTTTTTGGTTCAGATCTGCATCAGACCTGATTTTTTTTTCTTCCAAAATGACCTTAACTCCGATGTTGACTCAGCCAAAAATTGGTACTAGTTAAAGTCCTGGAAAGTAAAGGCAGCCAGCTTGATGTTGATCACATCACCTACCGAGTGCCGATTGGTCTGTAAGATATTTAGGTCTAGCGCTATGTGCCAAATATGCCCAGTGGCATGGGAAATAGGCTGTAGTGTAGAGTTCAGCTATCCTGTGTCAGTCAGAATTGTTCTGTTGCATTTTCTTTGCCACATGGATACAAGCACATGATATGTTTCCTTTCTTTGCTTTGCTGAACAGTTTTAAATTATTTATTGAAACAAACAAAACAAAACAAGTGGTGTTAGAAAAAAAAAATTGCTGAAAAATATTTTTGACACCCAAAATTAGTAATTTAATTGAATAGAGTGAAACACAAAAGCTAGTCTCAAATATAAGAGAGGGTCATTCTGCATTTTTTTTTTTTAAAGCAGAAGTTGTAGAAATAACTGGTGGGGTGGGGCTGATGTAATAACTAGCTGGGACAGACGACATGCAAGTATGTGACTGTTGCATGTTGTTTTGTTGCAGGTTGAGGTCCCTAAAGGAGCCATGTGCTGCTGGGTATTTCTCAGCTGCCTGGAGATTCTGCGAGCTTGTGAGGAGCACCATGTGTCTCAACTGGATGAGAAGTTTGCTCTCTTTACTGCCAACTTGTGGGATTATGCACATAAAAAGGTACCAGCTCGTTTGTTGAGAACTGAGTATGATGACATGGTGGTGTGGTTAGTTTTTCAGCAGTGATGGACAGAGAGGGAGTAATTAGTTTTAATTCATCAAGAATGGACTCATACTTGATTATGACTTATTTAATCCCCAACTCACAGTTGCCTTCTCATATAAATATATATATGTATATATAAATATGTACGTATTATCAAGGGATTTTCTTCTCTTACAGTGAAGCAGGCACCACATCTTCTAGTTTATCGTGTGTATTTACAAGGTCTGACAATTAGAGACTAGCGACTAATTCCATAAAAATTAAAATAATCAGCAGTTGAAGATATAACCTGTATTTTATTTAATGTGAGCCCCTTGTGTATTGATACAATGAGTAGCACGATCTAACAAACACTGGGATGACCTCTGTAGTTCTTCTGTTGCTATCGCCCTTAAAGTTTGTTTTACGGTCCTTTAGATGTCATCAATATTGTCAAAAAAGGGTCATTTCAATGGTAACTTTAATTTTAGGATTAGAAAATTATCACAGGGAGACAAATCTGGGGAATAGTGCGAATGGTTGAGAACACACACTTCTTCTGAGACCAGAAATTCCTGTTTTGATGATGTCTCATGGGTACTCAGCCCTCTAATGTTTTTGGTCATCAGACAATGAACAAACCTGCATGCAACTTTTTTCTTGCCAAAATCTTGCACTAAAATTTTACAGACGGTCTCTTTATTAACACCAGATTCATCTGCCATCATCCTGACAGTAAAACAACGAACTTCTTATATACGTTCTGTGACTTTGCAATGAGTTTATCATTACAAACAGAAAATGGGTGCCCAGGTCTAGTTGCATAAGTAATAATTTCTACAAAACTTTTGAATCGTAAATACCACCTGAAACTCAGTGCACAAGATAAACAAACAATTATCCCCATAAACTTGTCGCACCAATTCAGCTGTCTCATTAGCACTTTTTTTTTAGTTTTAAACAAAATTTAATGTTAGCGTTTTGCTCCATGCCAATTTCGTAACAATGGACATCTAACTAGATCAATAAAATGGCAGCTTGTTTGTCGTCTGCTTATCAGGCGGTGATGCAAAGTTGCCAGATCATAGATGAAGGTTGCCTCTTTGGATTCCATGCTTTGCTTCATAGATGGCCATTTCGTCTTGTCCATAATAAAATCAGTCTCATTACTTAATTGTCAGACCTCGTATATATGTATATATTTTTATGAACATGTTTTGAAAAAACTAGGATTAGCGATGCAAAGTCCTTTCATTTTTGAAGTTCACATGGCTTTTGTATCATTTTCAAAATTGTTTTAAATTTGTTAGATGTGATACAATTTGTACGTGATTTTTCTATAGCAAAAGATAAAGGGAAAGTCTAGAACTGTAATTCTACTCTGTCATTAATGAATCTCAGCCAGATAGTGACAGTGGTCTTGATATTGTGTTAATAATACTTGTGCTAAACCTATTACCTATAATTTAGGTTAGAATAAAGATTGAACAAAATGTTTCAATCTGATTATCTGTTTCGATCAGCTGTTTTCACGATTTTGCTTGTTGGGAAATCTGACATGTCATACACAAATGATCATACCATCCAAAGTATTTAAATAGTTTGTTTCATAAAAATTAGGCGTTACATAATTGAACAGAGAAGGTGTTTGAGTTCTTAGAAATGGATAGCAGTGTTGTTGAACAAGTAAAAAGTAAGCACATTTTTTTATGTAAATAAACTTCATGTGTCTAACATCCTTGAATGCTGTATGATTTAAAAAATATTTTTCTGTCATACTGACACTTAAATAGGTTAGATTTATTCTGCTCTCATTTCTCTTTAATTTAAATATAATTTGTCTCTATGCAGCCAGTACTTTTTCTTCAGGAAGGTTTTAGCTTTTTTTTTGTGTTGCAGTAAAACATTCCTCTCAAAATTAATGCTGTCCAAACCGCAGAAAAAATGTGGTCCTGAAAGTGATAAACTGACTGACTGGTCTGTGGAAACCTCCACACATCTGACAAACTGTTTGTCTTGTGGTCTAAAGGTTATAGGTTCTGTTTCCAACTCTGCTGTTTGTTTCGTGAGTACAGGTGTTTCAGAGATCCATGGAGGTCACTGCTGCAGCTACTTGGTTTCATACTTTGTGGAACACTCTCACTTAGGAAATGCTAAACCGTGTGAGGTAAAACCAAGTGCAATAAAACTGATCTGTTGCCTTTAAATTAGTCTATGAACACTGAAAGTTAATATGGTCTTGAACCACTGAGACATTTATTTAGCCTGCTATTTTTGACTAAAATCAAATCTCTTGTCAACAGCTACGAGAACTGGGACATCTATGTAGCTTGATGCCTGGTCTGGTGCCCACATCAGAACAGCTGAGTCTGGTTGTTGATTTGGTCTCAGGAATGAGGTTTTCAGAAGAAAGTTTATGTAAGTATCCTACCTGGTCATGTGTCTTTGCCAGACTTGACTGTTAATTGTAAGCTAAAAGCTATTGAGTTTTCTATGTGGTTCAGGGACTTTGGTCAGAAACTCTCTGTCTTGGGCTGACGTGAGCGAGTGAGTGAGTATGACTTCATTAACACGGTACAGACAGAAGGTAAGGAAAAACATAGTTGACGATAACTGTCAGGTTAATAGTCAGCAATATGTGACGAAAAACATAGACAATGTGAAATAGACTTGATGAAGGACAAAATGACGGTACTCATGGATCTTAGGGAAGACGGTTGAGGGAGAATCAGTGATGTGGATGTAGGACAGACAGTATCCCTCTGAGATTTGCCAGGAGGTAAATAGCTATCGTGTCACACGATGCTGCTGGTTTCTTGTTAGTACAACTTCACTCATGGTGACGGCCCTTGGTAGCTGTTGCGACCATACAAACTCATCGTGCAGCAACCATAGGAGTGTAAAAACCTATCAGCCGATAGTATTATTTACTGTCACAGGGCAGCTGCTAAATAGAACAAACTGTTAAATAAAGACTAGTAATAATAAACAAAAGACAAAGAAGGTGGAGATATATTGGGCGCACTCTGAGATAAAATAAGTAAAGAATTACAAAACAAGCACTAAAATGGGATACAAACGGCCTGAGAAAATGAGGACATCCAAGGGAAACAGTAAGAAGAACTTTATAGCGAGAAGCTAAAAATGCTTCCTTCCTGTCAGAAATTGAGAGAGTTGCCTGCAATAGAGTGGAGTGGAGGAATCAAATGTGAGCCCTATCTGATGTCTAACGGTACACATAGGATGATGGTGACTAAACACTAGAAATAAGCAATAGGAAACTACTGTTATACGGTCAGACTTTCGACGCTAATTGACTAGCCTTTTCATTCAAAATTCTACCTGTTGTACACATCTGTCGCACACTCGCATCGTCAATTGTCCCTTAGCCATCTCCCTAAAACCCCACAAGTACTGTCCTTCACCAAGTTCAGTTCATACTAACCATGTTCTTCATGACCACTGACTATTAACTTGATGGTTATCATCAGCTGTGTTTACGTACCTCCTGTCTATACTGTGTTACTGTGATCGTACTCACACACACCCACAAACGCATGAGCTGTCAGCCTGTGACACACTCTCTCTCGCTGTTACGTGACTTGCCAGATGGCATGTGTGTTAATCGCTATCGTATAAGATCAGTCTTTGGTGTTCTGGGTCTGTTCCATTGATGATATTCCTTTATACTGCCATCTTAGACCATCCAGCCTCAGTTATCTATGTCTCTACCATAGATAGCTTCTACCACTGACCTTTCTTCTCATCATGTGATGACAGAAAGCTGTTTTGTCTCTTTCTTATAGTCATATCTAACACTTTCGTTTGTATGAGTATGTTCTGTGTGTGTCAGAAACTGTTAATGTTTACAATAACACTCACTAATTATGTGCATGTTCTCTTTAAATAGCACCTACACACCAGAAGCCGGCTGATAAACTCAGAGAGTCTCTGTCATCTCCAGAATCATTCAAGCGGCACTATTTGGTACAGTTATATACTACTTGGTTTAGTTATCTAAGTCTACACCATCTGTCATCCTCTTGTCACAGTTATGTCAGTCTACTCTGTCTGTTACCTGGTCATAGTAGGTATTTCAGTCTACAGTCTATCACCTTCTTGTCACCGTTACATCAGTCCACCCATCAGTCACCTTCTTGTCACAGTTCATAGTTCACGTTATAGATCATCTTCATCACACATTGGACATGACGATAAGTGCTCTGATCTCCTCCTGAGTATGTGTCACAGTTATATCAATCTACACATCTGTCACCTTCTTGTCACAGTTACATTGGTCCACCCATCAGTCACTTTCTTGTCACAGTTACATCCGTCTACCCACCAGTGACCTTCTTGTCACAGATACCTCAGTCTACACATCAGTCACCTTCTTGTCACAGTTACGTTTGTCTACCCATCAGTCACCTTTTTTTCAGTTATGCCAGTCTACACATCAGTCACCTTCTTGTCACAGTTATATCAGTCTACTCATCAGTCACTTTCATATCACAGTTAGGTCAGCCTACGCTGTCAGTCACCTTCGTGTCACAGGTTGTTTTGCTTTGGTAAGGATAACTTTTTATTGTACACATAAGTATTTCAGTCTCTTCCCATTAATCACATGAAGAGTTTCTCAGCCCAGTGCAACAGTGACGCTAGCCGCAGTAAAGATCTAAAACTACCTGATCTGAAAATGATATAGTTTAATTGTTAGCCTGTCTGTTAAGTACACTTATTATGCTAGCATTCTGTTGTGTCCGTGATGTTGTTTGGGATTTCTCAAACGCTTGAGTCTTTCCTCTTTTATCTGATGTATTGGAGTTCAGGTCATCTGAGCCCTGAAAGGACTTCCATTTATTCTAGCGAGATAGGAGTAAAACAATGTATCTCATCCCAGTACTAGTGAATCATCTCCAGGTGGAGTTAATTGTAGAGCTTTTTTGTCCTTCTCCGGGCATAGAAACTATTGCGTCAGGCTTATTTCCTGGTATGAATAGGCCTTTACTTCTAGCTGGTCCAATGTCAGAAATGAGGGTATCAGGCCAATTTCCTAGAGGGCACAAGATGTGTTTAATCTAGCTAAAGGTGTTGGGTATAATGGTAACCATATCACCCCTTGTTTGGTGTTCAGTCTTAAAAATAACACATCTCCTGTATGTAGTTTTGTACTTCAAAAAACATGTTACCCCTTGTTATTGTTTGGTCTTGGGATGTAACAAAACTGTATCTCCCAGTGTCACTGTCAGCTGTCACTACTACGTCTGTATGTACCACTTTTTAGGGTGGTGTAGACAAGGGGTCATGAGCCTGAGGATTTAGGTTCCTCATGGCTAGTACTGTCACCACAGACTGTACAGGTTCGGATGTTTTAGCTGACATAAATCTGCCCCGGGTGTTGTATTTGATTGTGTGTAGTAGATCAACACCATATTTCCAGAGCAGCTGACAGAAACTGTCCTGAATGTTGTATTTTATTGTGTGTAATAGATCAACATCATGTTTCCAGGGTTCAGCTGATATAAATCTCAACACCATATTTCCATAAATCTTGAAATTTTTTTGTGTGTAATAGCACCATATATAGCAGCTGACATCAAGCACAGTCAACACCATATATCCCATAGAAATCTCAGTGTGAAAATTGTTTGCATGCAATAGATCAAGCACAGTCCCATCTTCAGTGTAAACAGGTCACCCCATATTTGCTCTGTTCTGTGCCAGTGAAAACCATACAAAATACCAGTCATTGATCCATGTGAAAAGTCAAACAGAAAGTAGTCCAGCAGCATCCAGCAGCCTTAGATGTATAAAACGGCCACCAGAGATACCTACAACTGCAGTCTGTTGCAAGAAAAGCCACTCACAGTTGATGGAAACCACACTCACATCAGACCAGCAGGTACACATGCAGTAGATACATGATAGATTCATGTGTAATTATTCTACTCATTAGTGTTCTGCATTGTAGTAATTAGTATGTCTGTCTCCTTTGTGACAGGATATGTGCGAACAGGCAATGGGGACATACAAGTACATAGGCAGGTTCCGATCTGCTCGTATGATTGGACTGGAACTAGCAGAGTTTTATATGTGAGTGGCACTTTTTCTGAATCTAGTTTTTCCTTATCATAGTAGTTTCTTAACTGGGCTCGCCAGAATTGTACATTAGTGTTGTTTTACTGAATATAATGGTCATTGTCACAGTCGTTTCTGAACTGGAATTGCCAGAACTGTATGTGTGAGAGTGGTTTTACTTACTGTAAGGTTCATATTATTTGATGTTCAGCTTTGAAAATCTTTGCTCTTTTGCTCATTTGCCTAGAATTTGCCCACAAAAAGCTATTAATTTGTCTTCTACCTCTTCTATGTATCATTATTGGTAGCCTTGCTGAGTGTGGTTGTTGATCATGTGTTTCTATATCTTGCGGTCACCAACAGCAAGCGTCACTTCTGACATCTTTCCATGCTATAACAAAGGACTATCAGCAGTGATATTTCATTATCTTCCTTTATCTATTTTTTTTTTTTAGTAAGATTGTCCAGTTTTTATTATCATAATATAGCTCAAAACAAATTTTACTCTGTCTTAATGACATTTATAAGTTGTCTAGGCATCTTAGCCTTTTTCAGAACATTTAGATTACTTATTTTGACTGGTTTATATATTTGTATTTATTAAAAATGTGTGTGTGTGTGTATGTGTGTACGAGCATTTATGGGTTGTTATCTGAACATTTCATGCTTTACAGATAAAATAAAATGAACATTAGTGATTAAAGGCTGAATTTAAGACAGGTCTTTGTGCCCAGCTTGTGACCCCTTGAAAATTAAGATTGTTCATTGGTTCATTTGTCCAAAGAATGTTCAGTATTCTTCTATAGAAACACCTCTCTTAAGCTTGAGGTATTTTTTGTCTTGCCTATTATTTGTCCTGTCCTTACACTGTGTTAAATCTTGTTGAGTGTAACGTGTAGGAATTGTTGTTCTAACGTCTATAGACAGACATTTTTTACATAAGATATTCTTGATTTTATAAAATGCAGTTTTTGCCTGTCCTATTCTCCTTTTCCATTTATCTTTTTATCTCATCTCTGTGATTCACATAAATAAACAGAGGTTTATTTATTGGGCTATTAAATATTATATATTAATAAAGTAACAGATGATGTATTGATCAGCACTTATAGAAAGAAGTAGAAAGATAGAAGAACAAACTAGACAACATAACAATCTAAAGCTATAGTTACCTTGCCGGGCTGTAATGTGATGTGTCTTCTAGATATTTACTTTTTTTTTTAACATGTTAGAAGTTTATGTCAATGATTTTATTTGTTCATTTATGCAGTCTGATTTTTGTGTGGTTTTTTTATTAACATTATTTGTTCTTCAGTAATTAATCTTAGACTTATTTTATTTTCTGTTTAAATATATTGTAAATTTCGCACTCTGCCCCATGATTCTGCTGAACAAGCTTGGAGCAGTGTGCACCTTATTCACGTGTGTTCATTTACTTTTTTTTAAATGGGTGACCATATTCTTAGGAAGGGCGCTGAACCCATCAGTAGGAGCAGTAGTAGCCAGATTTTGAATTGGGAGCATGGAAATGATTTGGGAGGGGGGGGGGGGGGGGGCAAAAGTGTTTTTATGGAAAGGGGCAGTAGATGTTGAATAAAAATAAAGGGGTGATGGAAGTATTAAAATAACAGAAGAAAATGTTGAAAACATTGTACCTGTTTGGTCTGTTTGTGTATCAGAGTTAAGCAAATCAATAAGTTGGAAGGCCAGATAAGTTTAGGAATCTGTATACTTAATAATGATTTAATTATTGTGTTTCTCTTTGTTTCTTGGATGTAGGAAAATCAAAGAACCGCAGAAAGCCGAGAACTTTCTGCTGGATTCCATCAAGATGTACCAACAGGAAGGTTGGCTTTATCTGGCTGATGGGACCATGGTTCAGTTAGCAGAATGTCAGAAGTGTCTGCACAATCCTGGAAAGTAAGACAGCCAATATTTTTCTCCAATTCTAAGCTCCCAACTGAGCATGGGCCTTTAATTATCTGTTGCTGTTTCTTGAAGTTTCTTCTTTGAAGTTCCACTTGTATATTTTAAATTTATGTGCCAACTATGAATTTCTATAAATGAACATAATATGCTTGATGTGTAAAATACAAATGCAATGTGAAAAATGAGTGAAAGAACCAAATGTGAAGATGGGCCTGCATGCCTCATTTGTGACCCCTTAAAAGTAAAGTTTGTTCATTTTTTTTCTTGTGTTACTCATGTCTGTCTCAGACCCCCCCCCCCCCCCCCCCCCCGCCACACTCCTTTCTCTTTTTTCGTCTGTGCACACACGTGCATGCATGCTTGTTTGTGTATGTGTTTGTTTATTTCTTTACTTTAATAATAATGTGTATTTTAAAATACTGTGTAATTAATGTTATCGTACATGTTGTGTGCATGTAAACTGTGTATTGTCACATATTTTACTTCTCTTTGTGTTGTACTGTATTTCAGTTACCTAAAGACAGCATGCCATATTGCCTGTAGCACCCACCTGTCCCTGGATGTTCGTCTCCAGTACTTTGAGGAAACCATGAAGACTCTCAACCTCATCTCAGGTGTGTGCCTAGACTAGTGCTTAAGTTCAGCATATGGTATTACGTGACTGGATCTCTTCCTAAACATATCTAATGTTTCTGTTCCTCCACCTTCAGTTTGTCTGATGTCTCTTCTTCTACTCCCAGGTATCTCATATCTCTACAGCTCTCTCACCTGGATCTACACATCTGATCATGCCAACATAAAAGGTAATTATTGAGTTGATTAACTGGCAAGCAGTGCATGGACACAGCAGATGTCAACAATGCTGTATGGACTGGGCTGATGGATAGTGATGAATCTGACATTAACATGATTGCATGACCTAGGATTAATGCATTGTGAAGTATATCTGTTTCACCTTCACGGCTGAGATAGGAGACATTATAACCAGCTCCCCATGGGAACAGTCAGTAGAGGTGCCTTGGAGTGGCTGATGTATTGGAGGACTGAGAATGCATGGGAATGCCAAGTCTGCAGTGACATCAATTGTGATAACACATCTCTACAGCTGTTACTTTACAGAGACAACATCATGGAAGAACACCCACAATATCTCCACAGGTTTCTGCAGGCTATGAAATCAACTCATATTCTCTTCATTATGGGAGACATAAAGACTCAAGTTAGGAGAGGAAACAACAGGACAGTGGTATGGCAATTTTGAGTAAAGTTTCGGTAAAAACAGTTTGGTTGCCATTAGAAAAGTGGAACTTAAGAAGCACAATTTTGTTTGAGGTCTTGGGCATAAAAGTTAATGGAGGGTATTAAAAATTTTTTTTTTCTTTATTATATTTCAATATCTTTATTTCTCCCCCTATGTAGCTTTTCCTTGTCTTCTCATATCTCTTCTTTTGTTTGCCCTTAAAAAGAGCATTGGACTCTTAAAGAGGCTGATATATTGTATTTTGGAACCCGCCTCAATGAGGCAATGGACCCACATGGGAAATCTCAGATTCTCTATTTCTGTTCCTGCTCAAGGTTTCAAATCTCTGTATTTCTTCCTTCAATAAATTAAGGACCTCTTTTTATTTTTCCGTTCTAGATTTCAAATCTCTTATTTTTCTTCCTTCAGTAAATTAAGGACCTCTGTTTATTTTCTCATTCTAGGTTTGAAATCTCTATTTTTCTTCTTTCAGTAAATTAAGGATCTCTTTTTATTTTCCCATTCTAGATTGCAAATCTCTGTTTTCCCCTTCTAGTGAAGTAAATCTAAAATCTTTGTTCAACTTCCTCCAGTCAATCTCATATCTCTGTATTCTCCCAAGCAATCTGCTTCAATATTTCAACCTCTTTTCCTCTAAAGATGAGTCAAGTGACCGATATGAGATGAGGGCCTCCCAGATATTCTTCATTGAGAGCATCACACTTGGCCGAGTGTCAGTCACACTAAATGACCACCAGTCTGTCACGGTTGAGCTGTACAGCAATTTTCCACAACCGGTCACCTTCAACTCTCTGCAGGTAACTTGTTATTAATTTGTCATTATTGCATTGTATTTGATGGTTACTGATGTTACTGAGTTGTTTTGCAGCTTGGAAGTTAGTGTGCACTTTTAACAATACTTAATGTACCAGATTTTTCCTGGAGAGGCCTCCATTTTTGTGTATTCTTGTTTGTAATTGTAATATTGTCTGTTCCTGTCATGTGCTGATGAAGGCTTTCTAACTGCAACATTCACTTGTCGTTAGTAAAAGACATATAGGGCTAGATCTATATTTTATAGACCAATCGACATATGGTGGGTGAAATGGTCAGCATCACGTCAGCCACCTTTATTTCCCAGGACTGCACCTGGTACCCACTTAAAGCTGGGTCGACCTGGGAGCCAAGGTCATTTTTAAAGTAAAAAGCTCGGCTCCATCAGGACCTAAACCCATGACCTTCCGATACGCAGGAGAGAATCTAGCCTCTACACCACAGCGAATCCCACTTATCGTTAGTGACTGTGGTAGTGTGAAGCTGGCTAGTTCTCCTTGTCATTTGGTGTCATGTCTGTTGATGACTAGAACATGTGAAGGCTCAGCATGTCACACAGTGGGTGCTGCCTTGTGTTTGAAGAGAAATCGAAACGATAGGAGGACATTTATTCTTGTGATTGTAGGACTCAGGATGGTCTTTTATGTTCCATCTCCAGGGTCATGTTGGTTAACCTATGCCCTATTCTTCCAGGAACCATGACTTTGTGTTACTGTTTCTCTCTAATCAACAGGGACATTCATTCAGTTGTGCCATTATATTTCACATGGGATCGCAGTCTATTTCTCCATTTCTTTCTATTCCTCTCATGATGTGTCCAGTGTAGAGACATCTTCTTGATCTTGTAACTGTTGATACTAGTGATTGCCCTGACATTTCTCTTATTTCTTCACTCCTTTTGAATTCATCCCATTTTATGTTCATCATTTCCCTCAGACATTTGTTTTCGAGTTCACTTAACTTTCGTAACATATTCCACAGTGACACTTGAAGACATGTATTCATGTTGTTTGAAAACTAGGATGGTCTTAGTTGTTATGTTTCTATAGTCCTGCTGGCTGATCTCTGATCTCTTATTCCATAAATAATGCTTTCTGTTCTTCTCTCTTTAAGCCAGACTGACTTTGCTGTCTTCCCTAGTTTTCTCTGTCCTTGCTCAGGTCCTTGCATGTATTTAATATGTCTGGTCAGGGGGCCCGACTGTCAGGTCCTTGCATTTAGTTGATCTGTCTGGTCAGGTGCCCGCACTATCAGGTCCTTGCATTTAGTTGATTTGTCTGGTCAGGTGTCCACACTATGAGGTCCTTGCATTTAGTTTATCTGTCTGGTCAGGGGTGACCACTATCAGGTCTTTGCATATAGTTTATCTGTCTGGTCATGTGTGACCACTATCAGGTCCTTGCATTTAGTTGATCTGGCTGGTCAGGTGCCCGCACTATCAGGTCCTTGCATTTCATTTATGTCTGTGATGTGATAAATAGTGTAGCCCCCCTTGCTTTCAACATTCATATGCCTTTGTACTACTACTTGTACCTCTTCAGCATTTAAATGTGTTAGGGTGAGTACTGTACTCTGTAGTACTGTTGTCTATCCACAGATTTCTATAAAGAAATGCACAGAGTCTGAAGCTCTAGAGTTTGTTCAGCAGCAGCAGCCACATGTGGCTAAACACAAGCGACAGCCCAGTGGGACACACATTGCTTCTGATAAAATTGCCAATTTCCAGGTGAGTGTGTGTAATGTATCACGTGTTTATTATATTATGCAGCTAGTGCACTGAGAGGCACTGGTAGAAAAAGAAAGATGTATGACAATATGTCATTGTGGTATTTAAAGAACATCTGTATCAGAAATGTTGACTTAAATAGGCATGATTACTACTGCCACATGTCATGGACTTCCAGGAGAAAATGTGCACTCATCTGGGTTTTGTAGTCCACAGTTCAGTACCTCACTGGAGGCAGTGCTATCTCATCACCATGTGATTCTGAGCCTCATCAAATGTGCACCAAATTGTTGTCCTGGCTTTTGGTGATTTGTTTAAGTATGTTAACTTTTGGGCTGCTTTTATGCCATGTTTTTTTTTTTCAAGTCGATTTCCATAATAATTTTTGAGAAGTTTTGTTTTATTATAAATAATTCTGTTTTCAATTCTAAGCCACTCCCATTTGACATTTCATCCTGTACCTTGATATTTTAAACCAAATACTGCAACATCTAGTTTGAGAATAGAGGTGGAGGCGGTCATTGCAGCCTTCTGATAACTTGAGAACCAGCTGCCCACGTATGTGGCAATTGTGACTGACTCACCGAGCATGCTGAGAACTGTGGAGACAGGTATGGTGCATGCAGAGTGGCATGGCAAACTACATGTTGTACGGGTCTTTTGGAAGCAAATGAACAGTGCGGTCGCACGAGTCTCACTGTCTGAGGAGAATGGTGCTACAAGGAGTGACTAAGGGATTTGACCAGTGCTCAGTAGTAAGGGAAAGGTGAGATGATTATACAATCAGACTGTTACCAGGTCCATCAGAATTGGGACTGCATTTGCTGCTGAAGATGGGGACAGAGCACTTATGGAAGTGACCTGAGTGCTGTGATGTTAGTTTTTAACTCATAACCACTATACTTCACGATGCCAGCCATTTCCATTTCATATATAACCACAAACATGATGTTAGTTTTTTAACTCAACTCATAACCACTATACTTCACGGTGCCAGCCATTCCCCATTTCACATATAAACCACACACATGATGTTATTAGTTTTTTAACTCAACTCATAACCACCATACTTCCTGGTGCTAGCCATTCCCATTTCACATATAAACCACACACATTTATCATCTACAGGAGTCTTTTTTTTTTTTACATTCGCCATTAACATATACATCTAGTCTAAAATAACCCTTCATGCTAACACAGCCAGTTGAGTATACCCCTAATTAATCAGTTGCCTTGCATGACATTCTTGCTAGGGGGCAGTAGGTCTATCCTGGAAACAATTATAATGCTTTCATGTATACTTTTATGATATGCACCTCATGAGCAGATCAGGCTCACTAAACTTCAGACAGGTAGTAATTTTTAAATTCTATTCCCATGACTGCTCAGCCGGTGACCAGGCAGCTGCCCAGTCAGATCGACTTCCACATCACCATAGAACGCAACAACAAAAGGCTGATCGCTTGTGGCATCGGATGTGAGAACGCCCACAAGTTGCTGAAGCGGGCAGACAGTATTCCCTCCAGCAGTACCCCAACTGTGTGCAAAGATGACTACACCCACAGCTTCAGCCTGCCTTCAGTAACCCTACAGCCAGGCCACAATTCTGTGACACTTTCAACACAGGTACACAGATTCTCTTTATGCTCATCTCTGGTTATTATCTGTTTGCGAGCCACAGTGGCGCAGTGGCTAGAGACTTGCTAGCTGACCAAAGGTCTTGGATTTGAAATCCCTGTTGAGTAGATGTTTTATAAAGGCTCCCAGGTCAACTGAACCTGACATGGCTACTAGGAAGTGTCCTGGGAAATAAAAGTGGCCAGCATGATGTTGACTGCATCACCCGTTGAGTGGCAGTGGGTCTATACAATTATGGTTCTAGCAGTGTATGCCCTGTTTGTCATTGGCTTTAAAAGGTTACTGGGCTTTTACTTTATTATCTGTGCATTTATTTAAAATAATAAAATACTTTGACTAAATTATCTGTGCATTTATTTAAAATAATAAAATACTTTGACTAAATTATCTGTGCATTTATTTAAAATAATAAAATACTTTGACTAAATTATCTGTGCATTTATTTAAAAATAATAAAATACTTTGACTAAATTATCTGTGCATTTATTTAAAATAATAAAATACTTTGACTAAATTATCTGTGCATTTATTTAAAATAATAAAATACTTTGACTAAATTATCTGTGCATTTATTTAAAATAATAAAATACTTTGACTAAATTATCTGTGCATTTATTTAAAATAATAAAATACTTTGACTAAATTATCTGTGCATTTATTTAAAATAATAAAATACTTTGACTAAATTATCTGTGCATTTATTTAAAATAATAAAATACTTTGACTAAATATCTGTGCATTTATTTAAATAATAAAATACTTTGACTAAATTATCTGTGCATTTATTTAAAATAATAAAATACTTTGACTAAATTATCTGTGCATTTATTTAAAATAATAAAATACTTTGACTAAATTATCTGTGCATTTATTTAAAATAATAAAATACTTTGACTAAATTATCTGTGCATTTATTTAAAATAATAAAATACTTTGACTAAATTATCTGTGCATTTATTTAAAATAATAAAATACTTTGACTAAATTATCTGTGCATTTATTTAAAATAATAAAATACTTTGACTAAATTATCTGTGCATTTATTTAAAATAATAAAATACTTTGACTAAATTATCTGTGCATTTATTTAAAATAATAAAATACTTTGACTAAATTATCTGTGCATTTATTTAAAATAATAAAATACTTTGACTAAATTATCTGTGCATTTATTTAAAATAATAAAAATACTTTGACTAAATTATCTGTGCATTTATTTAAAATAATAAAATACTTTGACTAAATTATCTGTGCATTTATTTAAAATAATAAAATACTTTGACTAAATTATCTGTGCATTTATTTAAAATAATAAAATACTTTGACTAAATTATCTGTGCATTTATTTAAAATAATAAAATACTTTGACTAAATTATCTGTGCATTTATTTAAAATAATAAAATACTTTGACTAAATTATCTGTGCATTTATTTAAAATAATAAAATACTTTGACTAAATTATCTGTGCATTTATTTAAAATAATAAAATACTTTGACTAAATTATCTGTGCATTTATTTAAAATAATAAAATACTTTGACTAAATTATCTGTGCATTTATTTAAAATAATAAAATACTTTGACTAAATTATCTGTGCATTTATTTAAAATAATAAAATACTTTGACTATATTATCTGTGCATTTATTTAAAATAATAAAATACTTTGACTAAATTATCTGTGCATTTATTTAAAATAATAAAATACTTTGATGATAAATTATCTGTCTTGTTTAGGTTTATTCCATGGTGATAATAAAATACTGTGCCTGTCTATATTATCTGTGCAATTAGGTTTTAAAAGTGATTAAAACCTTTGACTAGGTTGTATCTGTGCATTTATTTAAAACCAATAGGTTGTGCCTGTCCTTTGACTAAATTATCTGTGCATTTGATTAGGAAACCAAAAATAGGTTTGACTAAATGGTATTGTGCAATGTTATTTGTGCCTAATCCAAAATACTTTGAAACCAATATTATCTGTCCATTTGATTAGGAAACCAATGTTAGGTTGTGCCTGTCCATGGTGATTAGGAAACCAATGTTAGGTTGTGCCTGTCCATTTGCAGAGGAAACCTAGATGGGTTGTGATAACATGGAGATTAGGTTCCATGAGGTTGATCCAAGTGTCCATGGTGATTAGCATATCTTGTGTAGGTTGTGCCTGTCCATGGTGATTAGGAAACCAATGTTAGGTTGTTACAAACTGCCCCTGGAAGCCATGGGAGCAAAGTGGCAAGACATTTGGCTGCTGGCACGAAGGCTTTAGTGTCAGTTCTGCACCAGGCAGAATGTATTTTCAACATTGATCTTGGCCGCCAGAGTGATCTGGTTTAAGATGCCATCAAGTGTTCCAGGAAGTAAAGTTGGCCAGTGTGATGCTGTCAACCATAACTCATCGAATGCTATTTGGTTTATAAAAGCTTCATGTGTCTGATGCATCACTGGCATCTTCTTCTTCGTGTTAACCGGCTGTAGGCTGAGGCAGAAATTTCTGGTTGTTACCCACTGTTGTACTTCAGTCTTGTTCCAGAACGGGATTTTTGTGTCACATCCATTTTACAGATTTGGTTTATTCTTATACAGACTGTTGGTTTCTTGCCTGACAGGCAGATGCACTCCGACCTCAAAAGAAACCTATAATCGGTTGACTCTTTCTATATGCTTGTTAGGGAGACCCCAGAACCCACATGGGGAAATCACATACTTCCCATGTGACTGTATATGTGTGAATCATCGAAATGAATGAAAATTTTAGATGGAGCCTGGAGATCACAGAGAGGTATCTATGTGCTAGGAGCCCCAGCAGACTGATAAAAAAACTGTAAGTATTCAAAGAGGCTCATTCACTATGACGTATTAGCTACATCAGGTCAACACAGTCATTATTTTGTTTTTAGGTAGGTGGTTCTGGCAGAAGATTGTAACTGAGATGATTGAGCTTTCAATGGCAGAGGTTAAAAGAGAGAGAGAGAGAGAGAGAGAATGGGTGAGTTAACGAAGTGCTTAAAAAGATGATAGTCACATTTATCAAGAACACAGAAGGCCATATGTAGAAGAACATGAATTTGTTTCTCTCACTCTGGCATGTGATGATGATGATGATACAATCAGGTGGAAAACAATTGTTAATGAGCGATTCTGATTTTGACTGACTCTGAGATCTCCTATAACCTCTAAGGTTAGACGACTGACCTTTCGCCTTCCCAACTGTGACAATCTTTGCCAGACCCTCCCATCTTACAAAGTGACCTGAACAAAATAATGACTGTTTGACCTGGTGTAGCTATTAGGTCTTTTTGAATGAGACTCTTGAAGGACTTACAGTTTTTTTCCCAGTCTTTGGCATTTTGAGCATTCTCCTTAGAAGCCAGATCTGTGATCTTTACAAGTCCACCTAAATGCAGATCCAAACTTAGAACCTTTGCCAGCAGGCATTAGCCTAACCACTGTACCACCTTGGCTCTTCAGTTTTAAAACAACCTTTGGTAACATTGTTAAGAAGATCACTGACTCCAGGAAACATACAAGAAGGGATGGATTCATTTTACTGTATAGACTAATTGAAAAATCCCAACCCCTGATCCTGAGGTAGTGGATCAGATGTCTGGACTGCTCAGACAAGGGTTAAAAAAGTCAGAAAACCCTTGTAGACACTTTAAAACCTTGAAACTAGAACATTCCTAGATGCATCAGTGTGCCGTAACATGCTAGATCACAGCTGAACCTTGTCTATTGTGAACCTTGCAGATGATGGAGAAGGGTGTATTTCACTTGGGGCAGATGTGTTTGAGCATGAAGTCCCTGGACCTGCTAAAACCCCTAACATCTGTAGGTGCCTCTTTCAAGGTGGTTAGCATTCTACCCGAGTTCACCTTGAAGCCAGTGGACACAGGTAAGAAAATTGACTCTTGCTGGTTCATCTATATTTCTTTCTTATTTGCCGGGTTTTAATTTTCTTTTTCTACCTCTCCTTTTTTCTTCTCCTCCTGGGGACAGTGTTTAGTATACCTTTATCTGATTTTTCATTATGATACTTTCCCTCCCTTTTCCCATTCCTTCATTCCTGAATCATTTTGAAACAGTTCTTCCTTTCTCTTTCTTATTTCCATTGTATAGAAGTTTCTGGCAATTTGTGTCTTGACCATTGTTTTGTCTGTTGATAAAGTCTTCAGTAAAGGCTTTAGTTAGTAAGTTTGGGTGTATTTATGTGCATCTTATCCTTTCCCTCCTTTAATGCTCCTAGTCAAAGCTTGTGTTTAGTTATGTTGCTAATCAACTACCTAACCAGCTGACTAACTAACTGAATACTTGTATCATTTTTCAACAGAACACTTCCTGTCAGGAATAGAGCAGGCAGCAATGCTCATCTGTAAATCTGGCAGCTCCAGTTTGAATGAGGAATCAACCTTGTCATTCTCAACTTCTCCTTACTTCAGTATTTCCTCAAGGGAGGATGGTAAAGATGTTGTACTCAGCCCTCTGTCTGCCCACAGCACTGTGGAGGTGCCAGTTCTGGTCTACTCCAGCTTGAAGAATGAACACAACCACAGTGTTGTTAGTAAGGTAATTTAATGAGCATGAGTAGCACAGAGAGCTGAAAGCTTGCTTGCCAGTCTGAAGGTCTTGGGTTGGAGTCCACAGTGGGCTGGAAGCCTGTTTTTCTGTCTGAAGATTTTGGTCTGGAATTCACAGATGGACTGGAAGTTTGCCTGGGTTTGGGATCCACATTGGTTTGGGATCCACGTTGGGGTTTATTTTTAATATTTGCCCCATGACTCTCAGTTTGACCTAGCCTGAAATCATATTGTATTCATTACCAGTAAGGATAGCTGGTCAAGTTTTGCCATCCAACATGATCACTAGAAGCACAGATCAGATCTATGCTCCTATCTCACTGCCATCCCTCTGCATAAGCCGCTAGGCAATTTGGGATAGGAATCTGTTTGGGGACGGGGGGGGGGGGGGGGGGGGGGGTGCCATGTGAACTAAATGGATTTATTTTATGCTAGGTTTGACATACAAATTTCCTGTAAGCATCAGTGATAGAGGTCACAGTATGAGTCACTGGATACATGTTTTTTAGACCCTGCTGTGTTCCATATAATACTACACTCTGTTTCTAATTATTACTCCATTTATATGTCTTTATATATTTAACAAAACAGTTGAAAATGACTGACTGACTGACTTTCTACCCCACCAGGACATCACACAAGCGACAAACACCCGATGACACAAAGTGCCACCATGCGGATGAGGATCGCCGTGGAGAGGTCCCAGAAACCGCGTTCAGACACTTGGCCATATGTATGGCCTGCCTATATTGCGGCCCCCGGCAAAAGCCAGAGTAGGGCTTCAAATAACAAAAAATTTCGTCCTAAAAAGGACGAAAACTGGGTATTATGTAGAGAAGTTGAAAATGTAAATAAAACAATGTTTACCAAATTTATTAGTGATCTGTGCAAAACCATTTTTTAAAGAATTATTGGAAACTCCCACGGATTCATGGCGCCCTTTTTTTGTGTGTAAGCATTACCAGGTTAACAGTATTGTGAGGTACCTTTACACCCCAGACTAGAAATAATAAGTATACTCTTAAAAATACATCTATGGTTGTTTTGTGTTTCACATGCTTAAGTTGAACATTTTATTTGTAATTATCTCCTTCTTTTGGTCTGCTGATTTATTTATTGTATTGATCTCCCCTTTCTGTTTAAAAAAAAAAAAAACCAGTTAGGTGTGACAGTAGACAAGTGGCAGAAAACTTTCTCTCAAAATGTTGAGTTCATTCAACCATTCCAGGCAACACATCGAGTGTACACATCAGGAAAGCAGTAAGTCTCTTCTAGGGTTCACTTCATTGGGCTAGATCTATTTGTCACAGCTTGCAGAGATCAATTTCATTTTCTTGTATGCCAAGGTATGTGGGTGTACAGGGAAATAAGCAAGCTGATACGCAGATAATGCTACTTCGGGAGGAGGAGGAGGGGGAGCAACAAGCCATGGACCAGGCTGATATGCTTAATGCTGTGCAAGAAGTAAAATGTTTGTGAGAACCAAACGAGGACTGAATCCACAACCATGACTAGGCTGCAGGAACAGCAAGTAATACAGATGGTGGCCAAACAAGAGTTTTAGGCAGGAAGCTAAAGAAGAAATATAAACCAGTATACAACCGGTGTCATCAGCTGCTACAGGCTGAAGGATTTATTGAGGAGGGGATCCTGACTGGTTCGAGTGCAGTGAGGATGATCTGTCAACTGACTAACTAGCAGATTCATATAAAGCTGTTGTAAATGTCCTGCAATATCTTTTTTGTTTGTTTGTCTGCCATCATCTGTGGCTTAGGGGTTATGAGCATGGTTCATAATAATTAAATGGACAATTTGCTGCATGTGATTTGGCAGCACACTGCTTTGTGTTGATTTTTGCAGTGATACAGAACAGGACCATTCAACTATGATTATTTCCATGGGGGTTCCCGAGGTCCCATTCCAGGGGGGAAAAAAGAATAGGCCCACTGCCTCCCCAACAGGCATGTCATAAGAGGCAACTAATTGGGAGCTTCCTTTAAAGTTGGTGCATCTGCCTGAGAGGCAAGGAACCAACAGTCTGCAAACAAATAAGCAAGATCATCTGTAAAACAGATGCACCCGCACAACTCAGGTCCTTGAACAAAGCTGAAGTCCAGAAATGGATGAACGATGAGGTCTTTCTGCCAGGGTTTACAATTGGTGAACGCAAATGACAACAATATCTATGTTTACTCAAGCCAAAATGTTTAAAAACGGGCATTGTGGTGAGACAGAGGCCTGAGCCCTAGCATAGAAATATCCTTAACACAGTACAGTTGGCAGGCGATGTGGGCCACTTACTAGGTCTCTGTTGGCCAGATTTGGTCTGTGGGCCAGATTTGGTATGTGGGCCACCAGTTGAATATCTCTGGTATAGAGCATGAACTGTTGAGGGAGAAAAAAAAACCAACTACTAAACTTAAAATTGCCTTGTAAAATCAAATGTTGGGGTTGGTTTACATTGCCCTGTCAAGCAACAAAAGCTAATTGTTTTTTTATCTGTCCAGCTGTGAAGATAATTAAACAGTGAAATAGTAACCATTGACTTTAAAGAAAAAGGAACACAAATTAGCTTCAGTGAAATGAGAATCATTTTGACTTTAATGGAAAGTATGGTACTGTTTTAGCTTAAATGAAATATGAACAGTGTTAGCTGTGACAACTGAAGAACAAACAGTTCATCATCTGTTTTAATCACCACCAAGTCATGACACCATGATGGCTAATTGACTGGTTGTGGCATATACAGAGAAAGGCTGATAACAGAGAGACAAAAACTGCTTATACGTAAGAGCTGACCACATGCCAGACTATATGGGGCACAAAGAATAAAGAAAAGCATATGATGCTTGAAGTCCCCATCTGTTTTCTGCCTTTCTAGTTGGCTTCTCCCTCTGTTTTTTCTTTGTTTTTGTTTACCTTTGTTCCTCTTACCTTTTGGGTTCCAGTGCAAAGACATTCTAGTTATATGATTCCCAGGTTTTCTCATTGTGTATGTCCTATCCAGTGCCAACATCTTTTACTCACTCCTTATTCTCTGGAATATGTTTACAGTGGTACCTCGGAATTTGAACACTTCAAAATTTGAACATCTTGTAATCTGAACACAATTTTCAAGTAGGTTTTACCTTGGAACTTGAACACCACCTTGAAAACAGGACGCTACCACATAGCACTCCCTACGCTTCAGTTTGTTTTTGTACACTATAGTGAATGCATCAAGTCTTGGTTTGTCACCTCATTTAATTTTTGCAAGTGACACTGTGACAGTCCTAGTTGTCAGGTGAGCTACTTTTCAATGATAACATTATTAAAAATGGTTGCCAACATCAGAGAATTTGTAACATTGGTTCTCAACTAAAGCTAGTGACTCTGAACCCTGTACAGGTGATAAAAGACTATGTTATGAAGCACCAGAAAGTAATTCCTGATGTTATCAGGAAAGGTGACTCACCTTCTAGACAATAATCTCCCTAAACCTCTATGTGCTGTGTCACCATTTCAGTCAAGGCACCGTAAATGCCATGTGTTTATATCTTTTTTTTTTTTTCAATTTATATTTTTATTCAGATATGCTTAGCATTTGTTTCTATATTTACTATATTAAGGAAAATAAATTTTAACATTTGAGTCTGTTGGACCGTGGAACAGATTAATTTTATTTCCATTATTTTTAATGGGACATTTGCCTTTGAACTCAACCGATTTGGAATTTGATCGCAGTCTCAGAATGGATTATGTTCATATACATAGGTATCAATGTACCACTGTAGTTTCTTTCCAAAGCTCCACATTAGGAATTTTATCATATCATTTAATTCCCTCTGTTCTGTGCAAACACCAGTTAATGAATCACTTGTCTATCCTACCTCTAAAGGAAGTACATACAGGTGATTATACAAGGAAATGCCAGTGCCACATTCACATTGTCTGAACCCAGACTAGAAGCCCCAGAGTGTCGGGACGTGGAGCTGGTTCTCTTGAACAAATCTGACCAAATCTTGGTAGGGCACACCTCTTTAGTAGCTTGTGTTGTTCGCTGCTGATTTTGTCATGTGTGCTGCGTTATGTGGTATATATTCATTGTATCATCCTATTATCTGCAGTTTTATATAGTGTTTATTCATTGTGTTCTATTATTATGCAGTTTTATGTGGTATTCATTTATTGTGTTCTATTATTATGCAGTTTTATGTGGTATTCATTTATTGTGTTCTATTATTATGCAGTTTTATGTGGTATTCATTTATTGTGTTCTATTTTTATGCAGTTTTAAATGGTATTTATTTATTGTGTTCTATTATTATGCAGTTTTATATGGTATTCATTTATTGTGTTCTATTTTTATGCAGTTTTATATGGTATTCATTTATTGTGTTCTATTTTTATGCAGTTTTATATCGTATTTATTCATTGTGTTCTATTATTATGCAGCTTTATGTGGTATTCATTCATTGTGTTTTATTTTTATGCACTTTTATATGGTATTTATTCATTGTGTTCTATTGTGCTAGTCACACTCACCATCGCCAAGGGCTATGAGTCCAATGCCTACTCATAGCACAATATAACATGATCGGCTGGAAAGACGGGGAGGTGCCAGTCATCTGTTGTTAGGCAGTTTTATGTGGTATTTATTCATTGCATTCTATTGTTATCAGGTTTATGTGGTATTTATACCTAATATCCTAATGTGTGCTGTTATGTGGGGTTAGTGTTAATTGTTTTCTTTTATTATATAGTTACTGTGGGGTAAACGGTAAATGTTTTCTACTGTTGCACAGCCTTTGGTGGGAAAATGTTGTGCCCAAAATAACCCATCATCCACTGGCTTGAGTTAGCAGGTTGAACCCACCACATAGGACAGCAGGGGACTTGGCAACCTTACGGTGCTCCTGTGAGTTTACTGTTTTATGAGGTCAGACAAGGTAAATGGGATTTGTTCCTTTTGTATTCTTGTTGGGGGGTATATTTAGTTGTGCTTCTGTATCCACGTCGACTCTGTGGCTAAGTCGATGGGAACACTTCATAATGCCAGGGTGCCAGGTTTGATCCCAGCTGCGGGCTATGCCCCCTGCGTTGGTTTCAACAGTGGTATCAGGAGGCCGACCGTCCAGAAAGCAATGGAAAACTAATGGACGTAAATTTGCCTAGAGAAACCACACAACAGCCAGGGGCTGCTGGGGTTGGTTCTGCAACATCATGTAAAGGATACGCAACTAACCTTCTGTATGCACAGATTTTTTGTGATTGTTGATTTTGTTTTATGTGTGTCTACAACTTGTTTATCTGAAATATGAGCTGCCAGCTTTTTTGGAGTTGTTGGTTGTAAATAGAACCAATCTTGTCATTTTTCTGCAGCTGGTCAACCATCACCAGAATGTTTCATTGTTATGGCAACTGAACAGCAACATTCCACTACTTCCTATTCTAGACCTTACCTTCACATGTTCTTACTCATGTCCCTTGGATGCGAACCCCCAGCCACACGAGTTTGACTACAGCTGCAGTATCCAGAACTTTCAGGTAGGCTTTCCATCTTTTATGATAACCATTGCTTTTGTACATCTCAAGGATATGAAAATATACTCTGCAGTCAAGTTTGTCAGTGAAGTGAAGATTAGGGAAACTAAAGAGAACAAAGAAATGAAACTTCGAAGGGTGTATAAAACAGGCATAAGGAAATCTGAAGTTATCTGTCTGTTTAAAGTGATGGATTGTGTGGCTAAGCTATCTAATCAGTTAGAAGTGACAAATTATGTATCTGAGTTGTCTTATGTGTTAGCAGTTATGACTGGTAAGGCTGATATATGTGGTCCCAAGCTACATACTGTTATTGAGTGATTTCACAAGTGACACATTATATCATTAAAGGATGTTATGTTATCACATTTGACATGTGTAACTGGGCATTCAAATGCATGCTCCGTCCTACGATGCAGCAACCGCTCCAAGGTATCACTACTGATTTTTCCCATCAGCTATTGGTTATAGTGTCTCCTGTCTTGGCCTTGAAGATGGCGTAGATGTGCTTCACCAAGCTGTTCTTTAAAAGGGTACATAGCGTAGCTGGGTTGCAATATCTGTGTCATTTGGCCTAACACATCTGATTTCAGCAGACCCTTAATTAGTCATTTTTGTTGTTGATTGATTTCGCATCACAGAATAATATGTTCTGTTGAGGATTTAACATCACAGAATAATATGTTCTGTTGAGGATTTAACGTCACAGAATAAGATGATTTGTTGACAGATTTAACACCACAGAATAAGATGATTTGTTGACATATTCAACATCACAGAATAAGATGTTTTAATGACAGATTTCACGTCACAGAATAAGATGCTCTAAAGACAGATTTAACATCACAGAATAAGATGTTTTCATGACAGATTTCACGTCACAGAACAAGATGTTCTGTTGACTGATTTAACATCACAGAATAAGATGTTTTCATGACAGATTTCACATCACAGAATAAAACATACTGTGGACGTATTTCACATTACAAAATAAGATATTCAGTTCAATGGTTTAACATCAGAAAAGAAAATGAATTACATTAATTGATTTCATATCACAAAACAAGATATTTTACTTTTTCTGTGGATTATCTCATATCTTCATTTTGACTAAATTAAACCCTTCTTCCCCAGCATAGACAGAGAAATACTATATCTGACTCATCATCATCATCCCATAACATTGTATGTTGTTGAGTCACCAGTTGCTGTTGACTGTCTGATCAGCTTCCTCCACCGTTGACGGTCAGTTGCGAAGAACTTCATGGTTGCATGCCTAAGGCTTGTCCAGTCTCTAGATCTTTCTGGGTCTGCCTTTTCTCCTCTTCCCTGCGCACTGTAGTATTTTTTTATAGAGGCCATGTCCTTACCACTGCATTTTCCGTCTTTACACTAGCTTCATGGTTTCCAGTGATTGTACACGCCAATATCTGATTCACTTCTCCAAATTAAGACAGCCATTTTGTATTTGCAGACCCAGTACCTGCTGCTGTATACAGTCTCCAGTATAGAAGAGGACAAGGCCTGTACTACAGGAGAGACGGCCATCCTGGAAATTAAGATAAGACAGCTGCTGGACCTAGATCTTGCAGACACTGCCAAACTGGCATATTGCGTCAAGGCCAATGGAAATGTCTGGGCTATTGGTGGCAAGTCATCAGGTGAGTTCCTTGCTGATATAACAGAGTTGTGGTAGCACAGTAGCTCCAAGGTCAACCCTTCCTCCAGTGGGTACCAGGAAATGTCCTGTCAGCCGACTACATCACTGTTCAAGGGCCACCAAATCAGGTGAACAGTGTCCTTTGATTTATTACGAGTTGTCACTCCTGTTTTCCTGGGACCCTTGGAGGTAACAAAGAATAGCAAGACTGCAGTCTGCCAAGCATGTTCTAAGACAGGGCTTTTCAACTGGCAGCCTATGGGCCAACTATGGCCGGCTGAGGCCCTAACAAGTGGCATGCAGATCACTGTCAGTGTTAATGATCTTTTTTTTTTTTTTTGCTGGAGCTTGGGCCTCTGGCCCATGATGATCGGTTTAAAAATTGTTGGCCCCTGAGTTAACTCAGTTAAATAGCCCTGTTCCAAGAGCTGACTCAGGGTAGGGCTGGTCTGGGGGGTTGGTTACCCCATTTTTTTAAAAAGCAAAAAACAACCATGGAGAAGTCAAAGGCCAGGTGAGAGTTGGTTAAGGCCTAGCTCCAGCAGGAAATAAAGCACAGAAGAAGACTTTAACATTAATTAAACTGATATTTGTCATCTGTTGTTTATTTATTGCTGTGGATCCATGTTTGAGTTGGGTGAAAATGTAGGAGCCAAATCCCTGGATGTCCATTTTCAGTATCAGGCTAGGATAGTGTAAAGACCATCAGCTACACAGTTGTTCACTCTTATAAGACTTGAAGATTGACTGCGCTGTGTGGTGATTTTGGCTTGGTTAACCAGAATTCCAGTCATAAAACATCTCTGTCAGTGCAACAGCCTGCCCTGGCAAACAAATAGCTTGGTATGATGGTGGATACCTTCTTGTGTGAAGGACATAGCTGCCTGAGATGTGTCTGACCCACAGACTGATCAACAGTTTTGGGATCCTCAACCTTGTGTGCATACATGAAACTCCAGTAGTGGTTTTGCACATCCTGCACTTGGAGAAGGAAAGGAAGGCTCTGCAATATTGACCATGTGGGGATGGCACCTGTTCTTGAGAAGTCTCTACACCAGACTTATCCCAATAGATTTTAATATTTGTTGAAACTCAGATAATGTGACCATCATTCAGCAGAGCAAAGTGTTTCAGAAGCCTTTCAGCTAATGGTCTGATGCCAACAAACTGATTTATCGACCATCTAACCAACCAACTATCTAACCTATGATTCAGACACCGAATGGCAAAAGAATACGTGACAGATGACCCTTTAACTGACTGGCCAACCAACTATCTAACAGCTAACCATCCAGTTGTCGAACCGACTATCCAGACAGCCAACTAACCAACCAACCTTTCAGCCAGCCTAACAAACAGGCACTAAAAGGCAGAAGAATAAATGACAAATAACCCTTCACCCAGCAAATGTTTGTAGAAAGTATAGATCTAACCATAGATCTCCTACATCTTAGTGATCACCTTTTTGTTTAACCCTTTCGCTGCTATGGACGAGATAACTTGTCTGCCCGGCAGACTGCTAAAGACGAGATAACTCGGCTGCAATTTTCTGTGCCCTCACTGCTAAGGACGAGATATCTCGTTCTGGACATTTTTTTACAGATTGCTAAGGAAAGTAATTCTTAGGGGTGAAATAGCAATACACATTAACTTAATCTGATCAAACTGACCCGTTTACATACAATTAAAACCCTTATCAAGTGAGTTTAGGCGTATTTAGATGCATTTCACGTTATCCTGTTTCTTTGTTACCATAGAAGCATTGTCGGTGATCGGTAATTTTTTTGCCCTGAAATATATTTCTGGTTTTGCTTTAGTCTAAATTTTTTTTTAAATACAAAATAACAAGAACATTTGTTTAAATAAAGAAGAATTAATTGAGTTTCTTTCAAGGAGTAGTAGTTAAGAATCACTTTGAAACGTGTGAGTTATATGAGCTGGGTAATCTTCGCGGCACGCCAGCGGACACGTGTACTTTTGGCTGTGAACAAGACTGACCAGTGACCATATGACCTAGCTATCTACATCGACTGGATTTGAAACGGATCCAAAATAATCAAAAAAAAAAAAAAAAGGTCACGTACTGACGTGATGATTAATATTAATGTTAATTATATACTACAACTGACATAAATGTGTTTGTCTATTAAAGTGTACAATACTGGTCTTTTTTTTCAGTTCACAGTTTCATGTATTTCTAGTGTAGTTGGTATCACGTCTGCCTTACAATCGAAAGGTCCAGCGTTCAACCCCTACGTGCCGTTTTTTTTTAAAATTAATTATTTTAAATGCAAATTTTAAATTTAAGCTGTTAGCATTTTCACCGAAGTAATAATTAATTAAACATCCTGTCACGTGCGTTCAGGTTGATTTAGATGCTTTACACGTTATGTGAAGCGTGGTTGGTGTACTGTGCACATTCATTATATAAAGTTGTTGTGGGGAAAAACACACCTGTTGCCGAATTTCACTTAATGTTAGTAGGAGAAATTCTACATAAATATTGCAAGGAAAAGAGAAAAAGTGTAGGAGGACAAAAAAAAAAAGAAGATCTGCCACTTCGTTTAGTACAAAGGCATTTCCGTTCAATAATAGAGTCCGTAACATCGTAGAAAAAATTCCCAACCAGAAAGTGTGTGGTATGCGCAAAAAGCAAAAAACGACGGAAAACCAGATACATGTGCAAGTAATGTGATTTGTCATTGTGTGTCGCACCTTGTTTTGAAATATTTCACACACAAAGATATTATTAATAGTAATAAAAACCATGTATTTGCTTACTAAAGTGTTTTGTGTTTGCTTTGTAAGTTTTTAGTGTTTTCTTTTTGTTAATGAGTTTTCAAGGCGTAGTAATAGCGCGTCTGACTTGTCAGCGCAAAGTTCAACCACACGCCTTCAACGATTTTTTATTTTAGGTGTACAATTTTTACCCCGTGCCGCAAGCGCGTCTTCTGCTTTTAAAGGAAAAAACGGTATTCAGCACAGGGGGAAAGATTAGCTCTCGCATGGCTTAGCACAGTGGTTACGTTGGCTGGCGGAGGGCGCAGCAGCGAAAGGGTTAATCAGGATCTCCTATTTTCATTTCTCTGCTTATTTGTTTGTTATCTGTAAATGTTGTGTAAGGATGTTATGTGTGAGTATGTGTGTCATGTAGTTATGTATGTGTTATACATACTGTTATGTTTGTACTTAATACTCGTATTATGCATATTTTTCAATGAACTTACAGTGCATTAAAGATAAATTGCATTTCCTGAGTGAAGATAGGCCAAATTTAAGTTGTATATATACCCAGTTATGTTCCCAATTTGTGACCCTGTAAACATAAAGTTTGTTTGTTCATTCAGTCACCATTGTTGTGCTACTGTGTGAAGTCCCAGTGCCTTGATTATTGATTGCTAACTTGTAACAGGAGTTTTTACAATGAAGGAAGGCAAACACAGCATTGTGTTGGATGTGGTGCCACTGCAGGCTGGACATCTGCACTTTCCCATGGTGACCATATACAAGTACCTTGATCAAATTGAAGGTATGTACATAAGGCAGTGTCTGTGTGTTACTGGACTATCAGATACACGGAAAAGTAACCATGTAACCTACCATGTCTCAAGGGGTGACCATATACAAGTACCTTGATCAGATTGAAGGTATGTACATAAGGCAGTGTCTGTGTGTTACTGGACTATCAGAAAAACACAGAAAAGTAACCATGTAACCTACCATGTCTCAGGGGGTGACCATGGAGGGTTAGTTTCCTTATCCTCTAGAGCAGTGTTTTTCAAGCCGTGGGCCGTGGAAAAGTCGAAGTGGGCCACCAGATTTGTTTTTGACCTAATCCTGTATGGGGGTGGGGTGGGTAGGTTTCTCTTCAAGGATTGGAGTCTGTAGGATGAACACATTAAGCATGAAAATAAAGCTGGTACAAACGCCTCTCAACCACATAGATTTTCTAAACTCTGAGCAGCAGCAACAACATTAGCTGAAAACAGTAATTTTATGACATCAAATTTAACAAAGTAACTGCTATCTATATTTATTTTTATTTTTGTGTTTTTGCCCATTGGCTCGCTGGTAGATGACTTTGTCACCGACTGGAACAGTATTTGGGTATGTTTCCTTTGATCGCATCAACACTACAGGATTCCTTTTCAGGGCTCTTGGTAGTATGCAGTGCTAAGCCCTTTTATATGGCGTACATAACTTAGTCACAATTATAACCTAAAGCTCCCTCTTTGGGATGCTGGTTAAACATGACGATTTTTTTTCCCAGCACAGCACCTACTCACCTGTGTTTGATTAACTATCAGGCAGGTCACGAACAAGCTTCTCTGTCTTGATGGGCCATGGATGTATAAAGGTTGATAAACATTGCTATAGAGAACAAGATGCAAGCTGTTAAGGAACTGTGTGCCATGAGGAATTCAGTCATCAATATATTTTCTTTATCTAATCTTTTCTGTATCTTTAATCTTAACTTTTTTTCTTCTGTCTTCCACTTCAGTTATGTCTCTATTCTTTTCCCTGTGTATGACATCTTAGCTGATTTCTCTGTGCAGTTTGTACATATAATTATGTCTTGTATATTTTTTCTGTGTATTTAATAATAGCTGAAAAATCCTTTGCAGAACGTCGCTCTCATGGCCTGCCTGAAAGTATCCCTTTCCCTAACCAGCTCTCCAGCCCCATGTGCTTTCATTAACAATGCATCTTCAATGTCCTGAACCCATCTTTTTAACTGTAGATAAAATTAATTTCACTTTATTTTTTAAATATATGTTATTGTGTTGGTTTTTTTTTGGGGGGGGGGGGGGGGGGGGGTGGGTGGGGGTGGTGTGTCTTATAGGAAATATGAGATTGATGCTTATCATTTTTTTTAAATATATGTTTTTATCTATCTTATGGTTTTTTTTTCTGTGTACTTCTTTGTCTTCTGCATTAGCCCTTGAAAGAGTGGCTAGCATGTTTATTTGTGGTTTACAACTAGGCTGCAATATCTGTGACTCTAGACCCAACAAAACCAATTTTAAAAGCCACTTAATTGCTCACATGTTGCAGAATGCTTGTTAGAGGGGTGTCCCTGTGTATTGTAACATCTTTGTTCTCCTCTTTGCATATTTAATGATATCTTTGTTCTCCTTGCTTGATAGTTAATGATATCTTTGTTTTCCTTGCTGTGAAGTTAATGATATCTTTGTTTTCCTTGCTGTGTAGTAAATGATATCTTTGTTCTCCTTGCTGTGTAGTTAATGGTATCTTTGTTCTCCTTGCTGTGTAGTTTATGATATCTTTGTTTTCCTTGCTGTGTAGTTAATGATATCTTTGTTTTCCTTGCTGTGTAGTTAATGATATCTTTGTTCTCCTTGCTGTGTAGTTAATGATATCTTTGTTTTCCTTGCTGTGTAGTTAATGAGATCTTTGTTTTCCTTGCTGTGTAGTTAATGATATCTTTGTTCTCCTTGCTGTGTAGTTAATGATATCTTTGTTCTCCTTGCTGTGTAGTTAATGATATCTGTGTTCTCCTCGCTATGTATTTAATATCTTTGTTCTACTCTTTGTGCATTTAATGATATCTTTGTTCTCTTCTTTGCATATTGAATGATATCTTTGTTCTTTTTGCTGTTTATTTAATGATATCTTTGTTCTCCTCTCTATGTATTTAATGCTTTCTGTGTTCTTCTCTCTGTGTATTTAATTATATATGTGTTTTTCTGTCTGTCTTTTACTTTTCACCCCTTTCTGTCTTGTATTAATTAGACCACACGGCTGATGATGATGGAGAACTAGCAGACTCTGACAATGACTCAGCCCCACTGCAGCCTGTACCAAAGACTCAACGGACAGTGTCCCAGCTGTCGGCGTCATCTCACTTCGCCTCCCATCTTGTTGAGTTCAGCCCAGGTCAAGTGTACAATGAAAGCAAAAACCAACAGGTCCATGTTTATCCTTGTCAGACAACTGGCGACATTGAAGTTTCTATTGTACAGTAACTTGTTTTTCTTATGGGATCAGATGATTAATGAAAAAAAACTGCATGGAAGTACGATGTTGTGATAGGTACCGGTAGGTTGCCACAAGTATTTTAACAGTCAGGTGTCATCTACACGGTGAAGGTTTGCTGCAGTGGATCTTCACTTTGTCTCCCACCCTGGTTGTAAACTTTCTGAGTTGTGTCTACATCTCTTAATGTTATACTCCCACTTGTATCACTGTCTACCTCATACCTCACCTGCTTTCAACTTTTTCCTTTAGTGTAGCTCTCATTAAAGTGATATGTCTTTTAGTATGGCTGAAATTGTCTTTGAATAACTCTCTTTAATATCTCTCCCATACCTCTACATGGGGAACAAAGGGTTTATAAAAACATGTTGTTCAGTTTAAGTTATAGTAAAGTAAAGGACCCTTTTCCACGCCTTTAGGCGTATAGGGTATATAGGGCTAGACCTATATTTTTATAGACCAACGGCACAGCGAATAACTGCTCCGCACTCTCAAGCTTGAGTTATGATCTTGATTATCTTAACAGCCCTCTACTCACATCCATATGTACTCAGATTTCTCCTCAAACATATTCATCAGCATCACATGGTTAATAATGCCAGTCCTGTGCTGGCTGACGAGACTTCTCATGCTTGACTGCCAATCTTTATTCCCGATTCTCATATTCTTAGCAGTGATGTGGAGACATTGTCAAGTAGTAATCAGTAGGCATGCATTGATTAGTACTGAATGAGCTAATGAGCAGATACAGAAGAAAAAGTATAACAGAGACAGATATGAAGCTTTCGGGTTATATGTGAAGACAGATGAGCTGGTGAGAGATGAAATGCCCGACACCCTTGTATCATGGAACATATATTGATATATTCTGTTGGGGATTGCAAGTTGTGGGGAATCATAATCACCTGTGTCAGTCAGCAAGGCACATAGTAAAGTCAATTGTGGGTGTTTTGATGTGAGCAAAAGCAAGAGATGAATGGATGACTTGGCTACATAGTATCACTGGATAAAGAACATAGACCTGATCTGTGACTCTGCTAATCACATGAAATAGTCTACTATGGCGGAGATATTATGGTGATATATGTATGTTAAATACTGTAATATATAGTTTATTGGCATCCATTTTCTACTCAACATTCTCTCTCTCTCTCTCTCTCTCTCTCTCTCTCTCTCTCTCTCTCTCTCTCTCTCTCTCTCTCTCTCTCTCTCTCTCACTCCCTCGCCCCCTCCACCCCTCACTGTCCACCTTTTCCCTTTTCCAGTTAAAACTGTACCTTAATGTAAATAAATGAGAATTGTTTCAGCATTTGATTTTATAACTTCGTTTGTTTTATATTGATTCTTTCTGTCCGTAACAAAACACCAAGTGTGACAGTATGTAAGTCATCTGTACCAGTCACTATATGTGACTGTATGTATAGAAGTCACCTCTACCAGTCACTATATGTGACTGTATGTATAGAAGTCACCTCTACCAGTCACTATATGTGACTGTATGTATAGAAGTCACCTCTACCAGTCACTATATGTGACTGTATGTATAGAAGTCACCTCTACCAGTCACTATATATGACTGTATGTATAGAAGTCACCTCTACCAGTCACTATATGTGACTGTATGTATAGACGTCACCTCTACCAGTCACTATATGTGACTGTATGTATAGAAGTCGCCTCTACCAGTCACTATATGTGACTGACTATAGAAGTATGACTGTATGTATAGAAGTCACCTCTACCAGTCACTATATGTGACTATGTATAAATACCAGTCACTATATGTGACTGTATGTATAGCACGACACTTGTGGCTGTATGTATAGAAGTCGCCTCTACCAGTCACTATATGTGACCGTATAAATCACCTGTAGCAGACACTTGTGGCAGTATATCTGATATTGAGAAAGGGACTGCAGAACTGATCATATTTGCTTCCTTAAACTGTAGTGTATTTGGTCCCTGTGGAAGTGGTACACTGGTGTATTTGTGATTATTATCCTGCTTCCTTGGGACATCAGCCGTGACCTTTTGGGACCACAAGAGCCTTGGACATGACTGTAGCCTTGCTGCAGCCTTACTGGTGCCCTAATTATAACGTCTCGGGGGGTTGAATGGGGTTGCAATAGTAGAGAAGGTTGGCCTGACACAGAATACACCACTACAGAGGATTGATCTGAGACTAAAGATACCATTAGAGAGGGTTGATCTGAGACTGGAAGCACCACCAAAGAGGGTTGCCCTGAGACTAGAGGCACCACTACAAAGGGTTGGCTTGAGACTGGTTGCATCACTAAAGAGAGTTTACATGAGAGAAGGTGCTTTATCCCATTAAAAAAAAAAACCTAGTTGTGTCCAGCCAACCATGAACAGACGAGTGCAATAAGAATTTGACAAAGGATAGTTGAGGACCAAAGTTTTCTCTAGGGAGGATTGATACAGGTGGAAGTTCTGCTGCAGGGATAGAGGCCAAGGAATATAGGCTTGTGTTGGGGGGAGGGGGGTCCATACGCCTGGAATATTTAAGGGACCTAAGCAGTCGTTTTAACCATGTATAGTTACCTTGTTAAATATTGGTCTGTACATTATCATTCCATCTTTCACTTCTCCCTTATTAAATTTGTGTGTGGGATATTTGTGGCACAAAGTTTAGTGATGAATGCATGTTGCAAAAAGACTTTTCTACTAAAGAATTAATAAAGGGAAGTAATATTATTTTAAAAAAAATAATAGGGGAAATAATTTGCTTTCACACAATTACTAAAACTTATCTCATTTATTTGCTTTCATAATTAAGGAAAAGTATAATTTATATTAGTTTTGTGTCGGGTGTGGTCCTTTTAAATTGTTTTTATAGATGTAAAAGAAATGGATCAATAGAAACATTTAAAATTCTATACTATATGATTGTCAGGTAAAATTATAAAGCGTTTTTATGGACAAATTGTTTTTACAACTCAAATATGTTGAAAATTTTTGGTTTGTTAATAACTATGAGTTTGAGTTGAGTTAAGAACGAATTTATTTGAAGGGTACACAATTTGTACCTCAGCAAGACATAAGACATCCTCGTTCGCTTAAAAAAAATCTTTTTCTTCTTCTTGCGATCGTTTGCTTTACTATGAACTTCACTGTCTGTTGTAATTCACTCAGCCGACTTGTAATGTTTGACTTTGTGATCGATTTTGTAAAGCTTCCATAAACTATTTGTTTGTCTTTTCTTACCAACTTTTTCTCTTCCCTATAATTTCCTAACCCTTTAATTAAAAACGTAATGTTTGACTTGCACCGATGTTTCTCTTGGCCAAAAGTTTTGCGATGATATGTTGTATTTGGGACAGTCTTGGAGGACAGGATCTGTTGTCTCAGGTGACAGTGCACATGGCTGATTCGCAGATTTTAAATTGTGTGTACATGTGCCTGCGAAGTCGATTGTGTCCTGTTCTAACGCTTTAGATAATAACTTGCTCTGGTCTGTCCATAAAATGGTAATCGTCTTGTGCCGGATCAACAAAGAGACTGGCACGTCAGGTTGTTCTTCATTTGCACCTTCCTTTGCAAGTGTATCAGCTCTTTCATTTCCAGAAACTCCACAGTGGGATGGTATCCATTGCATTGTTTCCTTACACGGCTGCCTAGTTTGAAGAGTTAAATTATCTACATAATAATTATATTATCTATATTATAAATTATCTATATCTGTAATGTTGTCTCTAGTATGAACTTCACTGTCTTTTGTAATTCACTCAACGACCCGTAAAGTGTCTCTTGGCCATAAGACTAATGAAAGCTTGTGAGTGTAGGTTTTGTCAGTTGCTTAAAAGTATTCTGAGTAAGAATTGTGCATGCCAGATGAATTTTATACATCTGTTCCTTGACCTTGCCACCCGCCTTTCAAGCCATGACAGCCTACACCAGCAAGTATTTCTAGAAAATTTTAATTGGGACATGTCGTACAGTTATTATAAGCATGCTGTCAGTGACACTTGTCAATGTTTGTTTGACTGTCAAAAACCCAAAAAATGAGTCATATAATGCCTTCTTGCAAAATTACTTATCGACTAGAGTACTGTTATTTTGCAAGTCTGGGACAATTTGGAATTCCTAATGAACTGTTGAGTTTTGATTTAAACATAAACTTTCATCTCGTTTTTCAAGCATTCTGAAATGGCCCACGTTCAGCATACCTGCAAAGAGGTACCTGTACCCTCAATCTGCATAAACTGGCACTCTAACAATAATTGTAAGTGGCAACTGGAACCTTTGCCAAAGCCATCCAGGTTCATCTAACCCCTAACTTCTGCTGGGTTCTGGTAAAAAAACCAATGTGGGATAAGCGATGTCTATAGATAGGAATCATTGCTGAAGTTTATAGTCACTGTGACGCACACACGTGTACAAAAGAGCTGAGAGACTACATATCTAACTAGCTGACATATGACTTGCCCACACACTGAACATCCACACCTAACATTGTGACATGACACCAACACCCTTTGTTATAACTTTTCGTTTTTATTCTCTATATAAATTCATAGCACCACACGCAGTGACCCTCAATGACGCCTGAAACTCATCATGAAACCACTGACGTGACAACTTGACCCCTTATTGAGCCACCTGCACCTTATACCTCGACACAACTCCCTCCTAAATTTCCCGAATTTCTCATTCTCTCCCCCCCCCCTCCCCCCCCCTCTCCCCCCCCTATATGAGTCATAGCACTATATGCAATGACCCTCAGTGATTCATAAAAACCCTGCATATAAGTAGGGGACGTGACAACTAGACCCTATCACTTAGGCACTGTTATCTAAGATTGCACAATAACACCCTCCCTTTGTTATAATTTTTTATGTTTATTCCAGGTAACCTTGATGAAACCTGAAACCTCTCCTGTAACTAGCTGATACGACAGCTTAAACCCTCACTGAGCCACCAATAATTAACCAACACCTGATATTTTGCCATAATTTTTATTTTTACTCTA